ACACACACACACACACACACACACACACACACACACACACACACACAGCTCCATGATGATGTTTCACTGTAGTGCAGGAAAAAGCAGGTATGTGGTCCGTGGTGTAAGCTCCCCTTCCGTGCTCTCTGTTCAGGTCATGGCAGAGTTTCAGTCCGGCGGCGAACCTGCGCCCCGTGTTTGAACATTCTGTGTGTGTTGTCTGAGCCTGGTGAAGCTGCCTCATTATGTGACAGGCAGAAGAGAGTATTTGATCCAGGATATTTAGCCTCCTCCACTCTGTCACAGCCACTGGAGCCCTCTCAAGGTAATTGACTGACTGTTTGATCTCCATGTGACTCTACACTGGTACAAGATGCTGACACACACACACACACACACACACACACACGCACACAAACACATTTGTCACTTGCTAGCGTCTACTAATGGGTGGCACACACTCACACATACATTCACTCACACATGTAGCACAGACCCACTGTACCCTCCCCCCAAAACAACCAACCATCCAACACAATCCCCCAACACACACACGCACACTGTTGTTATCATTTGTGTGCAGAGAGGTAAGGGAACAGAGGAGGAGAATTTTGAGCTGTTAAAAAGGAAACAAGGAAACTCCTCCATAGCTATCGGCCATGCTTTCTTCCCTTCGCACCAAACGCTACATGCTGTTACAAATGGTAATCGGCTCTGATTGTCACAAATTTGAAAACAAACGCTAGGTGACTGAAAAGCCAAAGTGACGCCCCGAGTGATACTCCGACAGAAAGCCAGAATCAAAGCATGCCGACTATAATTAGCTTCCATCTGGGCTACATTATTTAAAGCCGCACCAGTTAATTGCTTGTGTACAAATGGCCTATTTTATTTGAATCAAACTTTTTTTGTGATTCGTAATTACATTGATGTGAAGGGGGCCATATCTCTTTACTTCATGTACAATATAAATACATATTCAAATTATTAAGAGGCGTTTGAGACAAGGGAAAAGTAAAGCAATGATACTTTATTTTGTATGAATTGAATTCCTTTAAACAATTATTAATACGATTAATCAAATATACTGACATTTGGGTTAAACATTTAATGAGCTTCAATTAAAAAATGAGATGAGCAATGATGTAATTGTGAAGCAAAAACTACAAAAACAGAATACCTAACAGCACTGATGCACATGATAATATTGCATGCAGAAGCAAACATTTTCTCATTTCCTCTTGTCAAGGTTTTCATCAAAAATCTGTATTTTCTTATTGATTTCCTATCGACGGTAACCTAAGCTTTTGTTTTATCGCAGAGCAGTGCGTTGGGGTGCGAGCCCCGGCGGGCTGCAACCTTAGCCGAGCTGCTGTTTGTGGAAACTATCTGTTGCATGGATCAGCGGTGGGGAATCGCTATCTGTATCCTGGTTGTCAGACGATCGGATTTCCGCCCCTGACACTCTCTGATATTAGATGATCTTCTATGGTGTGTGTGAGAGTATGTGCACAGTGTGTGAAGACACCGTGTGTGTATTAGTTCCTATGTGTGCGTGGTTGTCCATAAGAAATGCACATGAGCATACAGTCAGTTATTCGTGTTGTCATCTTGCTTGCCGACATGCGTAAAGGTCAAGAATGTCATTTTGTCCCACGTGGCTGTCTGTCGAAAGGGGTAGGACATGTTGCCACTGGAGACGAGGTCACAGAGAGAGCCCAGGCAGGTGACAGCCGGTCAGCCACACTGCCAGAGCAACTCTGTCCTCTTCAACAAAACATGGAGGTGTTGTCCTCAGTCAAAAAGCTAATTAAAAATCAAAATTCAACCCCCTCCCCACCACCACCTCTCAATTTACATTCAGGGTGAAGACATCCACATCAAATGGACAGAGAATGTACCGTAGGTATTATCAGACTTTGTTTGCGATGCTATGTGTCTTAATTTTGTTTTTTAAATCAACATGCTACTAAGCCTTCACATGTATACAGGGGCAGGAGAGACAGATGCATCACAAACGAAAAAAAACAAAAAATGTCTAAAACAGAGCTCATTTCATCAAACCGGTAATACCACTGCTGCTTCTTGAATGCCATTCATTTTTAATGCTCATCGGTAAGCGGGGTCTGCTCCCCGCTTACCCCCCCACATCCATCTCCCTCGTACTGCTTTTAATTACTTTGCTTATTATTGTGTGTTGTGGTGAGACAAAAACAAGGCAGAACTCATTACACATCCAGAGATGAGGAATCTGAATCACTAGCTACAGGGGCCGCTGAGGGGACTCTGTATTTACGCAGAATAGAATACAAACAGAAGAGAGACATGGGGAAACAAAATGGAAAGAAAACCCAGAGAGAGGAGAATATCACATTAACTTGTTGAAATCATCATCCAACGTAAGCTGCTTTACATTCCATATAATAATTCCAGAAATTCCAGACAACAAGGACTCCACACAAAAGACAGTGTGGCACTGTAATTCTCCTTTCTCCTTCTGTTCCCTCCCTTCATCTATCCTTCCCTACTTGCCGCTTCCATACCCAGACTGCACTGAGTGCTTTTTTATTTTAACGTGAATGAGTGGCCTTGGCCGTCATAAAGGACCCTCGTTTTTATAGACTTGGAGCGCAGTATTTACAAGATAACCCTGGTCCAAGGACAGCGCAAGCTATTTGATACCAGTGTCACTCTCCCCACTCCTCTTCGGTAAGAATCCAAAGCCCGAACATGCCCCCGCTTCTGACATCACCTCTCAATGTCAGTCGTTTTACTCGGGATGAGACACTTTGGAACAAGAGCAAGACAGCTCAGTTGCACCTTTTTTCATTTACTTCTTAATTTGTAATAATGATGTTAAATAATGTTTTATTTACAAAGTGCAATCAAATAATACAACTGAATATTCAAGTTAGCACTATATATAAGCAACATGTGAAAACAAGTTGCTATGAATTTGTCTCTACAGTAAAATCAGTCAATATGAAATGAATGAAAAACAGAATGACTATCAAACTGTTTTAATTCAACTTAAAATCCAATTATTTCTTTATAGCAACAGCAGGACATTGTGTCTTGTTTCATCAGTAAGCCATTTGGAGACAAAGAAAGAGAACAATCTGTACAGAGTTAATGGCAAATTACATAAAATATGTAATTTGGTTAAAAGGGAGGATTTGAAATTATAGTCTAAGCACACCATTTGCTCATAACAACCAAATCCATCTGACAACACCAAGAAGCACAATTGTGACAATGTCTTTGTCACAGAAATATTAATATATTTAGCATCTTTGCAAAACATTCAGATGCACACGCAACACAATTTCTGCCATTCCTTTCATTATAAACCATTCTTCTGTTGCTTATCCATTAGGGGGGACAAATGTTCACTCCGGCATGTCCAAGATTCGCTGTGAGTTTTTGTTTTAAACATGTGCGTCTACCTGTACGTATGTGACAGAGAGAGAGACATAGAAAGAGAGAGATTGAGTGACTGAGTGTGCGTACACATGTATGTGTATGGAGGGGCCTTGTTGGGAGTGCCACCCAGACATTAGCACTGTAAACAGTGTAGGCCTCCTTCCCTGTCCAGGGCCTTTGTTCCATCTGCACCACCATTGGTCGGGACTTAAATGGCAAACACTCAGGGGCTGCTAGCTCGCCTGACACGGTTTTGTTTTTGGCCTATTGAGGGGCAATGGAGAGCTTCTGTTTCTATGCCCGGGCACAATGTGTCTCAAAAGCAGCATAGCTGAAAAGAGAGGCCCCCACAAAGACTGTCCATTAGTGGAGGCACTGCATGCATGTGTATACGTGCACTCACACAGGCACAAGCGCATAAACACACACACACACACACACACACACACACACACACACACAC